TCTGTGCGACTGGTGTGTTAAAACAAGAACTAGAAAAGCATTGTATCCGAATATTAGATCAATTATGAAAATCCTACATGGAGGAATGGGTTGCTTTGGACATGACACTCTCACAAAGAAGCATTTTCAAAAGGATACTATACTGCATGGCTATTGTAAGGATGTACGGTCTGTCAGGTATAATGTTACTGGATTTGGTAATATGGACTGTAAAATATATCATCCTCAACCTTCTGTATAAAGGGGATTTCTCTATATGTGAAAGTTTATAGACGCATTGAAAAACCACATACTAAAATAAATTCAAACATCTTAAGACTAAATTTTCTTTCTTAGTCACTAAAAGAAGCAAACATTATACTTTCTCAGATGCCACAACGTATTGTTCTATCTAATCTTCTTGTGTGTGTTACGTGACTTAAAATTGTAAAAACTATTCTAAAAGTTTTGACAAGCAGTACATTATCTGAAGCTTGAGTGAATTGTGCATAATTTAATGCTTTGCCAGAAGTTTCAGACAGATTTATTTTTACCAATGTCATTTTAGCTACAGCACTTGCGTACTTGTTTATGAGATCATACCCTAAACTAATCATGTACAAATTTTTTGTGAAGTGGAAGCTGAATTCAGAAAAATTCTAAATTGTTCCATTATTGAATGTTCTATGGTTAAGAAACCAAAATATAAACGTGCTCATTATCAATGCTGAGGAACATCACATGTGAGAAAACAGACATATTTTATTGCAGAATTGTTCATTTAAACCACTTCCTCAGATCTCTAAGAAGAGAAACAAATAGATTCAAAGAATAAATGCACTTTATGAGATTGATTTACTTATACTAATGCATGTCATGATATAAAAGACTGTTTGGTTTAAATATTAGTGATTAATTTATATTTGTGAGTGAATATTTTATCATTTTTAAGTTTTGTTATAATAAGAGTTAAAAGCAGACGATTGTAAAAGGTTTTGTTAATAACTAATTGGTGTCGAGAATATAGAAGGTGGCCAGATGACTATGTAATAAAGATATAAATAGCGTGAGACAAGCGGGAAGCAGACAGATAAAAGTAAAGAAAATATAGATAGTGTGAAGTTAAGTAACGTAAAAGTAATAGGCCTAACGTTTAATATATATATTAGAGTGAAACTAACAGTGGAAAAGGAAATAAGAAAAAAATAAGTTTATTCCGTCAAAGCGAAATTCTAAAGTAATTGAATCAGCCTGAGTGCACTTTGATAAAAGGAACATGAGATCTTCAGAGGAAAGAAGACCACACTAGTAAGTGAATCACACCAGACTAATATTGCAATAGTTCATAGTTAATAGTTCGGCTTGTCAACTGCAATTCTAAAGTAATTGAACAGGCGTAAGTGGACTTTTGACAAGAAGAGGAGAACTATACATATACTGATATAACGTTTACGATATACTTATATTCTCTATAGTGTGAACACTTTATTGTACATACGTTTAACTTGTTCCGAATATATATATTAATTCAAAACAAGTAAAGTGTGTGGTGTTTATTCGTCGTGGAATTTATCGCTAACAAGTCACAGAAACCTACTGTAGAGGAATCCTAGGCCCAACAACAACATAGTATATATTTATACTATTAAGAAATATAAGTAAAAGCCATTTATTTCGACAATTGGCAAAAAGAAGAATTTATATATATATATATATATTATTTGTAAAAAAATTACAATGCAGTTATATGTTGCCACAGGTGTGATCTGCGACTTTATTGGTGACATGAGTAACACTTATATCCGATTCATGCCATATTCACAAACAATGTATACTGTAATATGGAAGACTTATGGAGCGGGGTATATGTCACAGTCTTTTCCGAAGAAAGATATTCATAAAGCAATATTTTTAAATGACTTAAAGACAAAAATACAACATTGAACTATATTCTCCAGCATAGTAAAAAAACTCGTGTAGCAACAGGCTGAAATAATTACACCCCAAGCCAATTGAGAGCAATGCTCTAATCTTCAAAATGAAGGCTGTAACTATGATATGGTAAGTATATATCTGGTCTCTCCAAAAGTATTGGAATGATGCTGGAATTATCTACTGCTAGCATTAAACAAGATAATAAGCAAGGCTGTGGAGTTGATGAAAGCTCAGAAACTTCTATACACATCTCAGAATCAACAGCTGTTTTCATGAAAAAGGTGGCTGAAAAACTAGAATAACATCAACTATATTCAATCACCTAGCTCTTACATCGCATGTTGCAACTCCAAAGAACTTTCAAATGTATTTGGTCTACTTAAACGTATATGCGTATGTGGTATGTATTTCTTTTCCTTTAAGTTTAAAGCCCAAATTCATGAAGGAACACCTCAGTTTTAAAGGTCATTGTATGATCATCCCACATAACATTATTGTTAATATCCCAGAGAAAGATATAGTTAGAAGGACTATCTATCAGATTTTATCACTACTGCAATCTAATGATTGTCACAGTGGAAAATTAAATGGATTAATGCTGCTGAATCCGCTGGTCAAAAACACCTTTCTTGTAGTTTTATATCTGTAAGATGTCTACGATAGAGTCCAGCTGCCCATTTTTGTTGACAAAATGCTCAGAGTAAGCGTCAGTATGGTCGTACATGGACTAACTAACACAAGAAGCATCATGAAGCATAGAAATTAGCGATCATACTGGATCACCATCAACACTAGACTGCCTTAAGGATCCCCACTTTCGCCAGTTCTCTTCAACATCTACACAATGGATCTAGCCACTTCGACAGTCCAACAAGATGCCATATGTTTACTTTTGCTGGTGATATTCTGATGTACTGTATAGGCTCTAACAAAAAAGAAATCAAAAGCATCATGCAACTACCCCTTAGTAGTAGTATTAAATGGTACAATGACAGAGGGATGATCATCACTAATACCATAGCCATGTTCTACTCACTTAACAACAGACATCCTGATAAGAGCAAACCATCATTATCCTTTACAAGCTTTTGTATACCTCTGGAAGACACACTGAAGTACCTGAAGGTAACTTTTGTTAGACAACTCAACATTACCAGCCACATTAGCAGCACGATAAAAAGATCTATCAAAGGCCATTATCCAGCCATTATCTACCAAAGGCATTTGCGCACCAAAAGTTGCAGAAGAAGAGAAATCTGAAGAGTGTCACCTGCATAATATCTATCAGTCTTATTCACCCCATCCAGAATTATGCACTATTGTTGACCGATATGAGTACTACACAGGTAGATCAGCTTGTAAAGATACAAAACATATGGTTAAGACTAGTCACAAGATGTACTTTAGTCATCCTCATCAAAACCCTGTTACATCTCGCAAGCCTTAGCAACACTACAGAATACCAACAACACTTTCAAGCAGAATCATTCACTAGAATCTTGCAATGTAAAGACAATGCATTCTATAATCGAGCTACTGCTCAGTTGGTTTGGGGTATTCCACCTCCACAATGACCCTGAAGATATCAATCATGCAGGGAATTGCATAAAAAGCATCTCAGGAGACAGTCATGGGTGAACAGGAGCCATATAGCCACACTGTGGTAATTCATAGATTTCCTTATGTAGAGCAAACTTCTGGCACCACAGGGATCTGTGGAAATCAGTCAGGCCGAAAATGTGGAGATATGTGAAAGGGTGAAATAGAAAAACTTGTCAAAACCTATCTAAAGAACATAGTGGATAGTCACCTTTCATCATATACACATGATGAATCAGTAGGACAGTATATAGCCAGAGGATCAATAATAACATTGGTAAAGGAACTAGCTTCTATTTTTGTAAGGCAGCCAATTTCTACAAGAGGGGTCAGTGCCTGTCGGTGAAATCCCAAGGATTGCCTCCTAGTAATAAACTCAACCTAGAAAGGTGATCATGTTTTGTTTGTAAAAATTCCCTTCCCTTTTTTTTGTACATTTATACGCATTTGTCACATGTATAGTACAAATAAGATACAGGTAACTGGTTTTAGAATGTGTGGCAATCTTATTCTTGAACTATTCACGCATTGTCAAGAATAATTATCATGTCAGTGTTAGACTTGTACTAATATGTTGTACAGGAATGCCTAAAGTATATCATCTCCTTATTTTTATATATGGGATGCCCAAGCGATCTGGGTGACAAATGTGATATTATGTATAGAGGGCGATTCTTTCAGTACATATCAAATTTTCTCTATATGTTTTGCTTTGTACAAATCTCTCAAGACATAGAAAAAAGTGCTTTCTATTTTTCGTGGAGATACATGTGTAATTGTGTTGTTTGGTCTTGTTAGTTAAATAAGTTATTTTTTACAACTGCAAACTTATTTCTAGAATCTTATTTAACGCAGTAACGTCAGGAATTTAAATCGTCCCTACAATTCTTATTCTGATGCAGCTATAGTTAATGTTGTTATTATTTCTTACTTGAAGGTAATTCAATGAAAAGGTTATCTCTGGTTTATGATTATCCCCGATATTATTCGCAGAGGCTTATTGCAACAAAAATTGTTTGTCGGTCAGTAGCACATAACCATAGCCATAAAACTAAGCGTTCTTGACAGTAAAGAAAATAATTTCATAGCAACACGGAACCAGAAACATAGGTCTTATAAAATTTAATTAATGCTCTATATAATCTGCTTTGACAATGCACAAAGTGGAAAAAGAAAAGAAAATTAACAGGATTAGAAAGTTTAAATGTTTATACACATAGAAGTGGAGGCTAGTCTGCTTTTTTTCCCATCAAATATTGATGACAAATAATAAGTAAAAAACTTATGCTTTAATAATTTTGTATAAATAAATGTATTAAAAACTTCAATATTACATTATAAAAAGTGAATGCTGTATTTATATCTGGCTTTTAGTTGAGGATGTGGCTTTTGTGGGTAAATATTTTTATATTTGTGTATTATTTTTATTTCTGCTTAAACTAACTTTTATTATGAGACAGATTAAAAATAACAAGAAGATTACGTACACTCTTTTGCTTGTAATCCACAGCTAGTTGTAGTCTTGGATATTTCAAACGTCCAACATTCTCAATTCCATCCGTCTGTTGAAGAACAAGATTGACTTCAAAAAGGGTACGACAGTTGGACAAAAGGTCAAAAGCAAATTTTCTAGCGTCTAAGGCCATTTTCTCATACTCATCCTACACATACCCATGAGGAAAATTTATTAAAATATGTTAACGTTTATTGTATGCTAGGATAAAGCAAATGGAAATAATTGCAAAAGATAAATTAATAAATAGCACTCTGCATTTATCAAGTCTTCCACCAAGACACCTTACATGACACTTTAGATTAAAACTTGAAACTTTTATAGATTTTTTGTAACTTCAAGAAAATGTAAAATTATTTATGCGGGGCTGATATTATTCAGTTATTTGTCACAAGAACTTTTTAAGTAAGTGCATTTTATTTTGTTATTCAGGTTTTGTCCAAATTATAAAAATAGCCCTTGAAATTACTTAATTCTATATTTTGTCTTGATATTCAGAAATCATTAACTGATATTAATAGCAATAAGATCATTTGGTAGATTGTGTCATATAATATACAGTAAGAAATCAATAACAAAAACAGATAAATACATTTACTATATAAACCTGCAAAGAATAGAATCACAATTGGTAAAATATTAAGTTAAAAAGTATACTGAATCACTTTTTCTTTAAATTAAGTTCAGAATTTAAACCTTAAGTGTTATGTAACTAATATGACAGTGTAGTCAAATTAAAATTTTATGTTTGTTATATTTAAGCATGATTAAGGTAAAGAAATCTTAATTTTACATAAAGCATTGTTGACGATCATATGTGAATAAGGTAGTGGCGGGTAATATTTTTCTATGACAAGACACTAATTTGGCAATTTTATGTTCATATAAGTAAAAAAACAGAATACCCTATACTCTTCATTCATTTGAGCACACAACTTAAGCTCGTCGTCTAATTCGAAAGCTGTTAAAATAGGATCGTCTGATGTTAAACAAATATATGCTGGGTTTGAGATTGCGAGGTAAACGTTGAGACGAAAAACAGTTAAATCATGTGACTGATCTTTTACCGCCCGTTTACATGCTTTGCATAAGCCTGAAATTATAAAAGTTATAAAAATACCTTTAAAGTCATTCTTAAAGGTTAAAAATATATTACAGTGAAGCTGAAAATCAAAATTCGGTAAACATGATATCAACGGAGAGTCCAAGTTTCATTAGAAAATGGATTAAGCTGATATTTGAATGGCTATCAGGAATATTCTTCATTCAGAAATTTCTCAGCACTGTTGAAGAACTTTGTCTCTCAGTTATCTACACTAGATTCCTTTTGACTTATTAGTCATAGGTTCAGTTTGGTACCTTCAATATTAAGACAAATAGTTACTAATACAACAACTCTTAACATTAGTATTGCTGTAAATATGACCAAATGTATTCATATATAGTTTTTTCCCATCAAATGTACAGCGGTATCTATGCAGACTTATAACGCTAGAAACCGGGTTTCGATACCCGTGGTGGGCATAGCACATATAGCCCATTATGTAGCTTTGTGCTTAACTTCAAACAAACAATCAAATGGACAAGTTTATTAATATATCTTCATATCAGTGCGAAATACTTTTATTTTTATGGTTTTTATAACATTGTAAATTTGCCTTTTGGTTTTGCCAAGCTATAGAGTGCAATGACAAGTGCGGTATCTCGAGGATTTCTGGCAAAGTTCGGAGAAACTAGGTTCGTGGATCTTGTATGCGTGCGTGTGTTTCCCGACGGATGCGGCGGTTTGGCAAAGAAATTAAAAAAATGAGACACAGATTTCACACAGAACACAGATGTTTAATAAAAGTCACCACGGTTTACAGAACAACAACAATACACAACTTAAGGTAATACCACAAATCACAATAGGGCAAGTGATTGTGTAGGTGTATAAAGAAAAAAAGAAGAATAGTTAGGCTATTGTTGAATAATTTATTAAATCAAAACCTCTGATAGCACGTTTTCTTACGCCTGTAACTTAGATTAACATACAACTGAGTCTTACCCTAAATCCCTAAGTTAACGTCAATCTATAGAGCCAACTCTAATATAAAAAAAAAAGAAGTAATGCTTGATAGGCTAAACAAACTTACTGTGAACTTACACTCATAATAAAAAAACTAAACTTATGGGCAAATTCACCCGCGTGTGCAAATAAAAATAACTTATTGCTATAATCACCGGAGAACTTGCAATGTTCTCAAAAAGTAAAACTATGCAAAAATAATACACTGACCTTGCTACCACAGAGGAAGGCGAGAAGTTTAAGAGTTCTCACAAATCTTGTTGTTAATAATGTTTGGAAACGGCTTGAATGGGTAATGAAGAAAAACTTTAATATAAGTTTAACATAACAGCAAATGTACAACGATGATGATGACAAAACCTTGTCTTCATTACCCATTCAAGCCGTCTTGTTTGATATTAAGCACAAAGCTACACAAAGAGCTATCTGTGCTCTGCCCACCACGGGTATCGAAAACTGGTTTCTAGCGGTATAAGTCCGCAGACGTGCCACTGTGCCACTGGGAAGCTCTCACAAATCTAAAATCTCTTTAAACAACCCACGAAAAGTTAGTAACAGTAAACATATGCAAACAGGAAAATATTACTGTAGAACACCCCTAAAGTACTAAGACAATTTTTGATTAAAACCTGGTAAAAACATGAAAAATGAATCTTGTAAAGTCTCTGGTAAACCTAGGTAAAATCTTTGAAAACTGTATGGAAAATCTGGATAAAACTCTGCTCTTCTAAACCCCAACATTATTTTAAATGTGGACATAAACTCTCGAGTTTTTACACAAGAAAACAGTTAGATCAGTTGGCCAATGGGCAGTGAAGATCATGGGAGGGTCTACCTGAAGCTATTGCCTGATTCGCTTACAATACTAACTCGGCGTGTTAATTAAAAAGCATATTGTTATTCCGCAAGAGAATCAGACAAGACACTCAACTAAATAAATTAGCCCCTAGGGAAAGACAAAACTAGAAACTTGGTTGAGCAGTGTTATGTTCCCAACCAGGAAACTATGGAGAGAAAAATATTATCTTAGATTCTAAATTAAAATGAGCCAAAAACTCATAGTACAGGCTACTACTACACCAGAGAAAACTTAGAACAAAGGAATAAGGTGAAAATATAAATGAAAGGAGAGGAAAAAAAACAAATACAAAATGAATATGATAAATCAAGACTAACATGTAAGGTGTCTATCAGGCGGACAGAGAAACAAATTGCATTTAAGAAAAAGCTTTCTCTCATTTACTAGAAGGTCCTAAATCTAGATGAGTCCATGAGTACCACAAGTGCTTTTCATCTGTTATATAAATATAAGTGACTGATGTAGATGATAGTCTTCCCTCTGTGTTAGTGCTGTGTCAATCATGATAGAAAATAGAATGTGTATAACTTATTGTATTTTCAATGACGTTAAGTACTCTAGTTATTATTGTTTAATTACAAAATGTTAAGGCAGTAAATATCACCTGTCTGGTGATGAAAACAAGAAACGAAAGGCAGCAAAGGTTTGTTTGTTTTTGAATTTCGAGGTCTATCTGCACTATCCATCCCTAATTTTGAAGTGATAGACGAGAGGGAAGGCAAATAGTTAACACCACCCACCACTAAATCTTGGGCTAATCCTTAGCAAGAGATATGTGATTAACCATCACACTATAATGTCCCCATGGCTGAAAAATTGAGCATGTTCAGAGATGAGATTCGAACTCGCGACCCTCATATTACGAGCTGAGTGCCCTAACCACCACTTCATACTAGACCAGCAGCGAAGGAAAAGTCAGAAAAGAAACATAGAGGTTCCATCAAAAAAATGTGTAAACAATAATTTTAAGAGGTTTACTCAATTTCCTGTAGTATTTATTTTTTAATAAAAGTCATATACCATTTAAACAAAGATATTTGCAATAATAAATAATTGTGGTTTAAGTGGTGTGTTACTTTTAGTAAAGAATTTTAAAATGCAAAATAATGTGAACATGTGAAAAAACAAACTTTAGTAAGAAACCAAGGGGTACTAATACAATTTCAGAAGATAAGGAATTTAACTTTGAAACAGTAGCAAAAAAAAGTGAAACTTGTTAACAAAAATGAATGATGATGTCATCGAAGTTACAACAGCTTTTGTGCTGCCAAATTACATCATATACCACTTGAGACAAATACTGGTGTTAAAAATAAAATAGGGAGACGATTTGCTTCAACCAAATATAACTATTATCTGAATAATGCAGAATATAGGGGCCTTGGCTCATTTATTCAGTCAAAGGAGATGCTATGTATTGTTTCCGCTGTAAACTTTTGAGTTCAGTATGGTTTGGTTTGACTGATAAAATAGTATGAATGACTCAAAGAATATACAGAAATAATTATATATTGACAAGGTATTTTACTGAGACTTATAGCTACCATAAGATACTTAGCCCAGCAGTAATTTCCACGTTGAATAACTTCAGACTTTCTAGTCAAACACAAGAATGGAAGTTTGTTGGAGATTTTGGTATGTTTGAGGATGTAAAGAAAGAACATTTGAGAAGGATAAGAATGCAGGAGGCTAAGAAATATTATCCTATGAAAATAATTTAAAATGAAACTATACATCAGCTAGCTGATAAAATCATAAACTTGGAAAAATATGCAAAATACTTCTATTGCATAGGTTTGTACTCCAGATATAAGTCACAAAGAACAGATAATTCTGATTGTTTGATTCGTCACTGTAAATTCAAATAATGTCGAAACTGAGCGAATGTTATGGTATTCACTGATGAAAAGACTCAACAAAAACAGAGCAAATATGAAAGGCAAAAAGCAACAGACTTGAGCTCTGGCACCAAATCCAAGATCGCTCTTGTACCACGTTATACTTTCGCCCTCGCTTTAGTTGTAATGACACTTGTCTTTACTTGTCTTAAATGTGTGTTTTTTTAGTGATACAAATGTGTGTATTTTTTATCTGGGTCTACATAAAGATTGGATCCTCTCAAAAAGTTGTAACTAAGCTAATTGTCAACCCACTCTCAAACGTTTGATGGAATAATAGACTAGAAGTTGTGCATGATATCTATTACTAAGTATCAGAGGTGTATGATGTTTTAATAGTCAAGCAGAAGACATGCCACTCATCAGATGTCATGTGTGAAGCTAAAACTCCCACAGCTAAGACATGAATATTCTAATTCTTTTGTAAAACACTACAGAACTCCAACTTAAACTTATTTTTGTAAATATGTTAACGGAAAAAATCAAAATTTCTTTCGAATATTCTAGGTATTATAAGAAGTTTACAAGGGTCATGACAGATGCAAAACTACTTACTGAAGAGAATAAGAATGATTCAAATTTCCAACCAAAGATTGAAATTCATTAGAAACAAAATAGATCTGTGTTTGAAAATGATAAATACATTCAAAGCCCAATAAAGCTGTTCGAAATAATATTTTATACCAGTCCTGTCATCACTATTCAGTCTCTGCAAGATAGACTCGTTTTATTAAAACAATACAATGACTATTTATTGTTCTTGAATGATATATATAGAAATTAAGATATTAGTGCTCAGGTAATACTAGATAGCTTTTATGAATTTTTGTGTTTTCCTTATAGATCGGAAATCTCAATCGAAATACATTAGCTCACTGGATCCCTGTTTCGAGCTCAGAGTATTGTCATCAATAATCGCACCAGGAGCGACTCAAATAAATACATTAGCTCACTGGAGCCCTGTGTCGAGCTCAGAGTATTGTCATCAATAATCGCACCAGGAGCGACTCAAATTCATAGAGCGGAGTGTCTAATAGAGAATGAAATCATCTCTCTATTTTCAAGTATTTATAGTTTACGGAAAAAATGCTTCTGATAATTATTACTAGTGGAAGACAAAGTTGATCAAAACTGAAACGAATGAAAGCTTACTGAGATCACCATGACACAAGAGTGTTGAATTGGTGTATAAATAAAAGCAATAGAGTATCGTATTGCTAATTAATTGCATTTGAAAGAGTTTGTTCAGCATTTTCACTTCATTGAAA